CATTATGTTACAGTCATAGTTCCTACTTGTGCAATTTCAAGATATACACTGGGCGTTCTGAAGCTGGCCAAGCAGATGTGGGATTAGCTCACCGCACTGTGACAGATCTAATGGAACCATATGCAAATCAAGGATATTTTTTGTACACGGATAATTTCTATTCCTCGCCGATGCTGTATAATGACTTAGCTGATAATTACAACACAAGAGCTTGCGGAACATGCCAGGTTAATCATCGTGGATTTCTCTGCTGTTGAAGGACGTCAAACTATACCAGCGACGCGCCCAGCGGTGCGATATGCGATATGTACGGGATGGTAGCTTGTTGCAGCTGCAGTGGATGGACAAACGATGTGTCACCATGATTTCTAATATCCACTGTGCTACAGAATATGTGAATGAAAATAGAACTATAAAGCATCATGGTCAGTTGCATAATGTCATTGTAAAGAAGCCGGCAACAGTGCAGGAATACAACATGGCAATGGGAGGTGTTGATAAATTCGATCAACTCGTAGCCTCATTCCGTATACTTAGAAAAACGAAAAATATTGGAAAACATTATTTCTTGATTTTGTAGAGGTAGCTGCTGTCAATTCATTCATTCTTTATGAGCATTGGTCTAGACAGAACCCAGGTGTTCTTGGTAGTGACCGCACCATGGCGCAGTTAGAGTACCGGCTGGCCATCGTCCGGCAGCTGTGTAATATTGACCATGACACACCAGTACCACTTTATACTGCACCAGCAAAGCCACAGCCTGTAGTAAAACCACCACAACATCTACCAGTGCCCACTGAAGAGATTAGAAACTGTGTGGTGTGCAAAGGCCCCGATCCTCCAAAGTCCAAATTTGCTTGTTCAGTGTGCAAGAACCGCAAAAGCAATCCCGCTCATTTCTGCCTAAATTCAGAGCGTAATTGCTTTGCAGATTATCATGCTGATTAAAACTCTATTCCTTGATTGTATTAGAATGGAAATTTGATTGCTGTACAAACATATCTATATAATTTGATAGAGCCTTGGCTGTGCTGTCAGGACTTCATGATTTTTTTGCTATTTTCGCACTTTTTGACAATTTTCAGGCCATGCCACTGTGACACCAATTGAGATCTGTTCTTGGCTCTTGCTTCTCTGCAAGCCTTCATCCATCTTCGTTCAGAAAAACAAAACTTGTTCATACAAAATATTTGTCCGTCTTGAGATATGAGTGTACACATGGAGTGGGGGACCCCTTACATACATTAGAGGCGCGGTACATAAAGGGTTAAAGAGTCTGGGTGGAGAAAGCAATTTTATGAGTGCAATAAAGAGTATACTAGATGCAGACATGGCCCCTTGCTTGTAGCCAGCGATGCTCTAACCACTGAGCTATGGTGTAGTCGTCATCCCAGCAGAGGCCGTTCAACATTTTCTTTAGACTTCGTAACTCACACTTCCTGTGAATCCACACAGGCGGGTGGGACGTAGCCCTCGCTGTAACCCACACACGTCACGTACAAACTACAGTCCAATTTATAGCGATGCTGGTTGGCGCATCCCTCCCACAGATGGACAGAACTTGACTTCTGCGTTCATTCAATATCAGGCCGCGGTTTTCGAGCCAGTCGGCCAGCGCAGTGACGGATGACGAGAGTCCCAGTGAAATAGTTGCCGTGTTGGAACCACTTTGGTATAGTGCAATATCGTCAGCAAACAGTCTACTAGGGGTCGGTTGAGCTACTGCAGCTACCGCTCGGGTGTAGATATTGAACAAGATGGGCCCCAATACAGATCCTTGGGGTACTCCACTTGTGCATACTGTGATGTTGCTCAGTTCGCTACTGATGCGGACTTGTTGTGTCCGGTTTGTAAGGTAGCTAACGAGCCATTTCATCACCGTACCCCCAACTCCAATTTCAAAACAGTCCTGGATCATAATTTCATGCCGCACTTTGTCGAAGGCCTTCGACATGTCAAGGAAGCACACTCCAGAGGAGTCCTTCTTATCTCGAGCCATTTGCAACTGATCAACCTGTAAGGCTAGTGCATCACCCGTCGAGTGCTGCCGGCGAAATGCAAACTGAGTTTCCGGGATAGCGTCGGTGTGGTCGAGGTGCCGTACAAGCTGCCGCTGGACCAGCTTTTCCAGCAATTTTGACAAAATCGGAAGTAGCGACACTGGTCTATAGTTTGTCGACTGAGACGGATCCCCAGACTTAAACAGCGGGCTTGCAGCCGCCAACTTGAAACCGACAGTCACTGCACCAGATTGCAGTGACAGGTGGAAGAGTGTGGTGACAGATGGTGTGAGGACCTCAGCACAGGACTTCAGGAGAAATCCTGGGACACCGTCGCTGCATGTTGCTTTCGCAGGGTACTAGGGCACTGAAAGCGTGCTTTCAGCGTAAGAGTCAGAATATCTATCTAAGGCTGGGTGTATCTCGATTTAAAATATTTAAACAAACGGCGAGGAGACAATAATTTGATAACCGCAATAAAAAAAAGGAGCTGAACCGACATTTGTTAGGAAATTAGAGGCCACATGCCACGTACTGCTCTTTCCTCTCCGAAACTTAACACTTGCAAGCAAGATATGAAAGCAAGAAAGTGAAATTGAACCGACAATTGTGTACTTTATTCATGCAATGTAACAAAGGTGAAGACGATGTGCAATGAAACGATGAAAATATGAAGAAATGGTGTAGAGAAAAATGTGGATTCAAACAAGTTGTCGTACAACACTCATCAGGAATCGTCGTTGTACCTGCCTAATTTGTGTGTACAGAAAGATAGTATAAATGGGTTTGAAATTGTTCAAGTACTGAACGTGTCGTGTTTGGCGCGGCCAACTTTGGCCCTTAATGTTCTAGGTGAAATGTACTGCTGTTATGTTGTATCACTTTGTCCTTCCTTCTTTCTTTCTCTTGTTTGTTCATTTTACATTTGCAAGTTTAATGTTAGCACACGCATTTGTTATTGCTATCGCTTGTTAAAATAATAATAATAATAATTAGTTTCGTGCAAATTTTCGCTTTTGAATGTTTTGGTATTTTGGTAAAAAAAACGGGTAGACCTGTTCATTGTTATCCTCACATCCTCACACAACAGTGGGTTACAGTGTCTGCTCTAGGATTTCAAACCAACCGGGTACACGTGTAGATCTACCTGGCACAACTCTTGCAACCGAGTCAGTCCCGGGTACAAGACTCAATCGCGGCTATTGTACATCAGGGAGCATTAGAACGCCCTGACTGGGTCCCAACCGGGTCCCCCGGTGTTCTTTTCCCATGCGGGCCCAACCCCAACTGGGTCGCCGAAGCGGCTGACCCGGCTCTGGAGCAGACGATGGGTTAAAGGACCGTAGCAATGAAGCCAGTCATGGCAGTCATGGCAGATAAAGGCTAGAGTGAAGCCACCACACCCAGACAATATGTTTTAAAAGCAGGAAGGCTTGGAAATCACTACAATGTCCCCTGGTAACGAGAGAGCTTGGAAGCTCAGGGCTCTAAGCTATGCTTTTTTGCCTTGAGGACCTAGACAAAAGATGCATAGGGATGTTATGTTGTTGTTGTTGTATACTTTATTTATAGTGGATAAAGTGTTATAAATTCTTACTTCGGTATAAATTTCTACTTTCTGTTTTTAGACATAACCTGGGATTCGAACCCGCACTATCGCCCTGCATGCATCCCCTGATACACTTCGCATACATACTAATTCTTCCAAGTTGCTTCACGTTATTATCTTGTATTTGAAAGCTCTATTTGAATATGCATTGTGGTCAGCCGAGGGTATTACGACACCATCTACCGCAAAAAAAGAATAGGGATGTTAATAGGGATGTTATAAATTTTTCAATTTTCCTATTTTGTTTTAAGCCACTACCTGGGATTCGAACCCGCACTATCGCCCTACATGCATTCCCCCATACACTTCGCATTCATACTCATTCTTCCAAGTTGTTTCACGTTATGATCTTGCGTTTGAAAGCCCTATTTGAATAGTGCGGCCAGCTGTATGTGGCCAGCTGTGTTTGATGGTACGGTACGGTACGGGACAGATACGGGATAGCGCCAGGCGTGACACAAACACACAAACAAACAAACACCAAATTAAAGCTGTGTGGACCCTGGCTAGCACCAGACGTTACTGAATTAACGTCTTCTGCATAGCTACAGGAATGAAAGTACTAATGAAGCCGCTATGCCCGGAAAACTCGGCTTCCCAGCCGAGACTCGTCTCACGCAGACCGTGAAATTATTATTACGCCCGGACAATACGTTAATTCAGCAGGTAGGTTTGGGAAGCACTACCGTGACAGTTTCCCCAATAAATTAAACTCATACATCTCTTATCCGCACTTCTCAGATGTGGGCAAGTCTCTGCACCTGCCACCTTCAACTTGAGTTGCTATGACAAAAAGTGCATTGTTCTTGACTTTTTCCTCAATGGCGTGCATGCACATGCTCCTTTTTAAATGTCTTGTCCTTGCCAATCTCTGCAGTTCACACATTCAAAATCGATTGATTCTTTTTTAAATCTGGGACAAGTGCAATACATGCCAACTTCATCAAAGCTTGCAGTAGTATGATGCACGGCAGGTAGGATTATCCTGACGTGCAGGAAAATCTGATATAGGGCAGTGCCCAGTTCCAAGGTGCCCGAATAAGAGATGTCCAAGGGTACTACAGTCCATTCATCGGAAACTGTCCCGCTGGCTTTTGAAAGTCGGATTTGGGTCGAATTGAGGATCATAAAACTCACTTTAAATCTCAAAAATTTGGGTTTTGGATCTGCTTCTCCATACATTTTGCCATGGCATACCTGTCCGAATTTAGTAAAACCAGGCTGAATTTCTATTTCCCTGTTCTTGGACGCCTGAAATGTGGCAAGGAGTAATTGCACGGGTCACACAATGCAGGATGTACTGTTGTTTTCACGATATCTACAACTACGTGAGAGAGACACCAAAAAGTTAGGGCCTGGTCAGACTGCGGCAAAATCGAAATAATCCTGGGATGCGCTGCCGCATAAACGCTGAACCTGATCCAGAGCAACGTAAAGCTTTAAAGATTGAAAGATCTGCAAAACTTCACGAGATTCGAAGGATACTACAGAAGGAGGGCGAGCAATATTGGCAACGTAAGGCTGTTGAAGTAGATGCTTTACGCCCTGACCCACGGTCCTACTTCAACGCCATCAACAACTTACGCCAACTACGCTCTGGGAAGAAGGCTGCGCCTGTGCGTCTTGCTGACGCAGACGGCAGAATCATGGCAGACATCTCATGGAATCTTAATGCCTTTAATGAATATTATGAATCGGTATTTTACACTGATGGCCAGCCACTCGACCTCAGGCAGCAATCGAATGAGGAAGATCCATTCACAATCGAAGAAGTACGGTCTGCAATTATCAAGCAGAAGTCTGGTGGTGCTGTCGGTCCTGATGGTATCAGTGCTGATGCTTTGAAGTCAGCTAAAAACCTATTCGCACCCTGGCTGACGAATTTCTTCAACGCTGTTCAAGCTACAGAGTACTGTCCTGACGACATGCGCTGCGGCCTCATCGTTCCCATCTACAAAGCCGGCAAGCCTCTAGGACATCCAAAAAGCTTACGCCCCGTTATGCTCCTTTCCGTCGTCCGTAAGATCTTGACGTCAATACTCACCCGACGACACACACTCCATGAGCAGTCATATGTGGCAGAGAGCCAAGCTGGTTTCCGCCCTGGCAGATCGACCACGGATGGTGTCTTTTACGCCAGGACGATGTGTGAGCGTGCACTACTTGGCGACTGGTCATATTCATCGGCACTATTGGACTTCAGCGGTGCGTTTGACACTGTCATTCGTCAGGTTGCTCTGGAGAGGTTAGCCACTGCTGGCGCACCAACGTCCACCACTGCAGTCCTAGTATCAAACACAACAGCCCGCACGAAGCTTGGTAAACAACTAAGCAAACCATTTCCAACGAACATCGGCGTCGTCCAGGGTGACCCAATGTCACCAATAATGTTTATAACTTACGCCGAAGGTTCCATGCGTAAGATCCGAGAGCAAGCTCTACCCGCGTCAGACCTACCAGCAACTTTCACACAATACGCAGACGACACCACTGCCCATCAGCATGAGCGATCATCTGTGGAAGAAACCGTCCGTGTGTGTGAACCCGTTTTCTCGGATGACAATCTGAAGCTGAACGTGGCAAAAACTCAATATTTCACTGTGACCAAGGAAGATGATTCCTGGAAATCGGTGAAGCTGCTGGGGAGTATGCTAGGCACAGCAGAAGACATAGCAGCCAGAGTGTACGCTTCAAATCGGGCATTTGCAAGCATTCCATGGAAACGCCACAACCTGAATTCCAGGCTGTGTATGTTTTCCTGCCTGATATTGCCTGTCTTGCTGTATAATTGTGCGCTTTGGACCTTATCGCAAACATTAACCGACGTCGTCAATGTATGGCACCGGAAGAAACTACGTACCATCATTGGTATCACGTACCCACAACGAATCTCGAACACAGCGCTGTATGCCAGAACCGAGCAGACCCCACTATCCCAAGTCTGCAGGCAACGGAGACTGCTGTGGTTCGGCCATGTAGTGAGGGAAGGCGAAGAATCGTCCTCTTTCCAAGCCCTCCTAATGTCAATCAACACAACAGACATACGACGACCCCGAGGACGACCACGTCTGAGATGGATCGACGTTGTCAAGAAAGACTTACAATGCATTAATCTGTCGCTTCTGGATGCTGTGCAATCTGCTTCTGTTAGAGCTGCTTGGCTCGGAATTGTTAACAGATGCGTTGACCTCATGCAATGAGTGAAATGCGAACTGTCATTATTATTATTATTATTATAATCCGAATCTCCATAGTAACTTGCCGCCAGAGCGGCAAAAGCGAGAGTTGACGCTCCAAAAAAAAGCGAGAACGGACCACGCTTTTCCGCTCCAAACAGGATTTGGCGCAGATACGCCATTGACGCTGATAATCACTGATTTTTTCATCTCGATATCGAGTTGCTAATTGGCCACGGACAACAACAAAACTCATAACTTTTTTATTAGGGTGGCTGGGGCGGTACAACTTTTTTGGGGAAATTTTGACTGCATTTTCGAGTTTATCGGCAAGGCAGAGATGAAATTTGAAAATGTTTTCTGGTGAATCTCTGGAGAATAGCCTTCTCTAGCTTCCTATAGTTATATTTTTACTTTTGGACACAATTTGAAAACGTTTTATGAAAGGTTCGTGTTATTTTTCCACGGACGTTTCATAAAACTTTTTCAAATTTTGTCCAAAAGTAAAAATAAAACTATAAGAGGCTAGAGAAGGCTCTTCTCCAGAGATTCACTAGAAAACATTTTCAAATTTCATCTCCACCTTGCCGATAAACTCAAAGATGCAGTCAAAATGATCCCTAAAAAGTTGTACCGCCCCAGCCACCTTAAGGATGGTTGCAAGGATTGCCCTGAAGGTTGTTGTTGTTGTTGATTTTTATTTTGCTTCGCAAGGCCAAACGGGCAATGGTGCCCAATTCTATGGAAGCGAATTTCAAAAGGGAGAGAGCTACGGGGAGAGAGAGAGAGAGAGAGAGAGAGAGAGAGAGAGAGAGGGAGGGAGGGGGGAGGGAGGGAGGGAGATGATAAGCAATTTTGTAGCGTCAACAGAGCGATTTTGCAGTGTCAATAGAGCGATTTTGAAGCGTCAACAGAGGGAACACAAAGAGTTCATAAGCGCACAAGCACGCAGAGAAGAGTAAATGACGTGGTGTGTGGACGGGAAAAGTCAGACAGAGCATTCATTGCAAGGTGTAGGTGTTGGCGATCCCCAAGGTGAAAGAATTGACGTCGTTCGTGGAGATTACCACTTGACGCTCTAAATGAAGTTTGAATTTTCATTCTCCTCACATGTGTAGTGTGATCGCGATTCAAATTCTGGACTCTTTTCTGTTTTCGTCAGGCAACCAAAATTTGCCGCAGTCTGACCAGGCCCTTAGGGTGCCAGTTTCCAATGAATGGACTGTAGCTACTTACTGGCGCAAGCTGATTGGAATGGTTGGTAGCCAGGACTACAGCACGCGAAGGAGCCGGGAGTGTTGAAGCATGACGTTGATGTCAGGCTGCAGTTGCCGCTCGTGGGCCTAGCGCATCAATATCTGCAGTATAAGCATAGGTGAACCACTACTGGTGTGTTGTTACCTTCTCACCCAGGCCCCCGCCATACAGCAACGCAAACTCTTGATTGTGCGTCTCATTCCATATCATTTCTTATATCGACAATAAACGACGAGGGTGCAGGAGGAGAAAGGAAATGCAAGACCCAAACAAAAAGGCGAGAAGACACGAAGAAACAACAAAGAACAAGCAGTGATAAAGTGACGCCAAATCGGGATGACCATTCAGCGACCAATGCATACAGAGTACATGACCAAGACCAAGACAACCAGACCACGGACGAATCACACATGACTCTCACTCCCAGACCAAAACTAGCACTGTGCATGCAAGGCATTCACTTGACAGTCACTCTCACACAGACGGAAGCAGATTCTCACACTCTGACAGCACGTACTCTTGCATGCACTACATACCATAAGTGTCACACATCACACCATACTCGCATATACACTTAGACCATATAATTACCACATCAGACATCGGACTCTACAAGACAAGAACAAAATACAACGTGCGCACTAAAATACTCGAACGGAATTACGTAACATGCCGTATTTTTCAGAGGATAGTGCGCACCTTTAGTATAACGCGCACCCCCAATCTTTATTGGGGGTGCGAACTTAAATCTTCATTGAAGTACATGCATTTCATATTCGGAGCAACGTGCGCACCAGCGATTTAGGGCCTAAAATAGCATATCTAAAGTGCGCACTATACTCCGGAAAATACGTTACGCAATCAATACGTTCCTGCGAGAGTGTTTCAATGACCAACACATTTTACCAAGAGTATAAGCCCCCCTGGTCCGGCTAAACCAGGAGGTGTTTACCTTCAGTGCCTGTTAGTGGAATTAGCAGTAAACAAAATAGGGTCCTGCACATTCAACACCCAACCGGGTCTGCCAGGTTCTATAAGATTCTGAGATATGCTACAAAATTCTACTGGATTTTTTGCATCTATACAACGTGCATAAGCATTGTTAGAAAATAATTCTATTGTGAATGTGTGTGTGTGTGCGTGTGTGCGTGTCTACATGTCTATACCATAATTATGTGTGTGTGTGTGTGTGTGCGTGTGTGTGTGTGTGTGCGTGTGTGTGCGTGTGTGTGTGTGTGTGTGTGTGTGTGTGTGCGCGTGTGCGTTTGTGTGCGTGTTTGTTTGAATTCACGCGTGAATGTGTTTGTGCTCCATCGCTGGCTTTTACATTCTGCATCGTGCACCAGCTACAACAAACGGTAAGTATCCACCACTATCTGTCTGTCTAGCTTTTTTTTCTGATTCCTGCATGTAAAATTACTCTAGTGACCGTTGTATATCCTTATTGACTTCTTCTTCCTTGGTGCAAGTCACACTCCATGTATGTTCTTCATTCTCTTTACCTTTACTGGGTCTTCACATTGTCCATACCCTCAACTTTTAACTATTCTTGTTCTTTTTTGCCTCATCGGCGCTCTTTTAATTTGTGTGTCAACACTGTTGAGTTATTCGATGTTAAACGAGAGAGCTTGGAAGCTCAGGGCCCTACGCTATGCTTTTTTGCCTTGATGACCTAGACAAAAAAAGAATAGGGATGTTATAAATTCTTTAAAAAGTCCTTTTTTAAAGACATAACCTGGTATTCGAACCCGCACTATCGCGCCCTGCATGCATCCCCCGGTCTTTGAAAAATCCTTTTTTTTTTTAAGACATAACCTGGGATTCGAACCCGCACTATCGCGCCCTGCATGCATTCCCCCGATACACTTCGCATACATACTAATTCTTCCAAGTTGTTTCACATTATGATCTTGCATTTGAAAGCCCTATTTGAATATGCATTGTGGCCAGCCGTCTTTGATGGTACGGTACGGTAGGGATAGGTACGGGACAGGTACGATCGAGGGTAATACGACACCGTCTCCCGTACCGTACCATCAAACACAGCTGGCCACATACAGCTGCCCGCAATATTCAAATAGGGCTTTCAAACGCAAGAAGAATGGGTATGAATGCGAAGTGTATGGGGGAATGCATGTAGGGCGATAGTGCGGGTTCGAATCCCAGGATATGCCTGAAAAAATGGGAGAATTGAAAAATGTATAACATCCCTACGATTTTTTGCCGTCAGATACGGGATAGCGCCAGGCGTGACACAAACAAACAAACAAACACACAAACAAACAAATACCAAATTAAAGCTGTGTGGACCCTGGCTAGCGCCAGACGTTACTGAAGTAGCGTCTTCTGCATAGCTACGGGAATGAAAGCTGTGTGGACCCTGGCTAGCGCCAGACGTTACTGAAGTAACGTCTTCTGCATAGCTACGGGAATTAATACTACTACTACCGTAAAGTACCGCCAGAGCGCCCCACCATCTCATCCTTTCCTGGAGGTGGTCTGCTGTCTGTAGGCCATACGACATGAATCTTGTACACATATTGCACATTTTGCAGTCAATCCGTACCTTCAAGAGGACACACGCTCCACACAAAAACCTGCCAAGCGTGACCTTAGTACACTAAGATTCTCACATAGTACACACTTCGTTGCACTCTGCCATACGATTTTCCTTTCTCTGGCTGTAAAATCAAGGCGGGGCGCTCTCGCGAGACGGGGCGCGCTGGCGGTACTTTACGGTACTACTACTGCTGCTGCTGCTGCTGCTGCTACTACTGCTACTACTACTGCTACTACTACTGCTACTCCTACTGCTACTACTACTACTACTACTACTACTACTACTACTACTACTACTACTACTACTACTACTACTACTACTACTACTACTACTACTACTACTACTACTACTACTACTACTACTACTACTACTACTACTGCTACTGCTACTGCTACTGCTACTGCTACTGCTACTGCTACTGCTACTGCTACTGCTACTGCTACTGCTACTGCTACTGCTACTGCTACTGCTACTGCTACTGCTACTGCTACTGCTACTGCTACTGCTACTGCTACTGCTACTGCTGCTACTACTGCTACTACTGCTGCTGCTGCTGCTACTACTGCTACTACTGCTACTACTGCTGCTACTACTGCTACTACTGCTACTACTACTACTGCTACTACTGCTACTACTACTACTGCTACTACTACTACTACTACTACTACTACTACTACTACTACTACTACTACTACTACTACTACTACTACTACTACTACTACTACTACTACTACTACTACTACTACTACTACTACTACTACTACTACTACTGCTGCTGCTGCTGCTGCTGCTGCTGCTGCTGCTGCTGCTGCTGCTGCTGCTGCTGCTGCTGCTGCTGCTGCTGCTGCTGCTGCTGCTGCTGCTGCTGCTGCTGCTGCTGCTGCTGCTGCTGCTGCTGCTGCTGCTGCTGCTGCTGCTGCTGCTGCTGCTGCTGCTGCTGCTGCTGCTGCTGCTACTACTACTACTACTACTACTACTGCTACTACTACTGCTACTACTAGTCAGTATGCGGATGGACCTTAACGGACGCAAATTTCGAAGAGTCTTAGGATTTATTATTGTACCCTCTTCCTGTGCGTACCTCCGTGAGTATGTGTGTACGAATTGTGTGTGTGTGTGTGTGTGTGTTCGTGGGCGTGTACGCGTGTTTGTGTACTGCAACATGTGTGTGGGTTTGCTATACATGTCTATCGTATATCAGCATGCAAAGCATCCCATGCTGACTTTACAACAGGACTGAGCGGCTACACACAAGCTACTAGCATTGATCAATTTGACTGGACGAGAAACACAGGAACAACAACAAGTACAGAAACAGGTCCCTTGTCAGATCGTTCAACTTGGTCTGGTAAGTGATTTGTGTCGCCAGGGTCAGCCCAATATGAGTCCAACGGTAGATCTGATCTACAAGAAATCATATCACGGTTGTATGTGCATTAAATGGCGATCGCCTAGTTGGAGCTAAATGTCGGGTTGCGGCAGATGCTAGAAATCTGTCAGTTTTGTATCCGATTGTGGCAAGGTCTGACTGCTTAGTTTGTAGTTGAATTGACGAGCCGTTACTCATAGCTTGCACCCAATTGCTGTCTAACCGGTCAGTTATTTTCAATGGCCTCATGAATGTTCAATGCTTCGTGAATGAACCTGTTGTGGCCGTATATGAGTATACACTCTTTCTATGGGCGAACAACAAGGCATGTTCCACTTCTACGGCTATGTGTGCGTGTTTTTAGGTCACTACCTGTATATCGAGGCCTCTTCAAGGACTGCTGATGATAAAGCCATTATCTACTCACCACATTACACCACATTACACCCAAAGGTCTGTACCTTCTCTTTCTGGTACCACATGTACGGTGAGGACATCGGTATGCTGAACGTCTACGTGAAGACTTCCACTGCAAATGTCAGGGTCTTCACGCAAAGCGGAAACAAGGGTAACAATTGGCTCCGCGCACGAGTGCTCTTGAACACTGTCCCAGCAGTTACATCTGGTCAATTCCAGGTAGGCATTAGCCAATGCAATGTCTATTTTTGCCTGATGATTGCACACAGTGCATGAAACTCAGAGTAGCAAAACACTACTGAAGTACTAGTTACGAGTGATCCATTGTTTGTTGACAGGTGTATACATGTATATATTTATTTTAAAAATAGAGAGGTAGGCGAACGAAATTTATATACACACAACAACAAGGTTGTCAATTTCATAATACGAAAAGCTTTTCAACCATTTTCATCAGTAGTTACATGGGAATGAACAATAACGAAACGCAACAGCAGGAACGAAGCAGCAGCTTCAGTGTCATGTCATCACACCAGCCTGGAACAGCGCGCACTGATTCACGCTGGAGGTGCTATGCATTCGCAGTTTGAGGCCAGAACTGTGTCAACAAAAGAAGCACATCAAAGTGCTGCCGCTGTTCAAGTGGTAACCAGACTGACAACTTTATCATGTGTTTGTTCTGGTACTGCATTCCCTTCATGTGTTGTTTCCCGCATTTTTCCACTGCTCCATACATTCTTATGGTAATGTAGTGTGAACTTGAGGCGCGTAAGAATATTCTGGCTGATTCTCTACCCCCAGCATAATTTGTTGTTGTTTCAAATCTTTATTCTCACGATAGCCAGTGGCCAATAAGAGATAATAGTGTAAGAAAGGAGAAAGAGTGAGGAAGAATTGGGTGGGTGGAGACATATTCTGGCGGCTTTCCGCTGGAGTCGTTCTAGCCTGTCAAGGGAAGTGTGTGACAACGGTGTGAGAGCATTGCTCGCATACGAGAATATAGGTAGTATGTATGTCTGATAGATGTGAGATAAAGATACACTGGTGAGTGTTGACCTTAGTCTAAAAAGAATATTGAAAGACTTGAGTGATTTTTTGACTATGTATTCAACATGCTCCGTTCAACGGAGGTCATGCTGAAAGATTATTCCGAGGTGTTTGTGTTTTTGTGCTACGGGAAGCGGACTATTCCTGAGGGTGATCTGGGGTGGCTGTACAGGGGGGGGGGGGGGGGCGGTTATTGTGGTGGAACGGGAGGATGACTGTTTTCTTTGTGTTAGCCAGCAGGTGCCATCTTTGAAGCCAGTCTCCAGCTGCTGTGACACTCTGTTGTAGGTTTCGGATGCAGTCTTGAAGAGTTCTCTCTATGAAAATCAGAGCGGTGTCATCTGCAAATTGGCTACAGGGGGTGCCGGGATTCTCACATTCGTGTGGAATGTCTATGGTGTAGACGAGGAATAGAAGCGGCCCAAGAACAGATCCCTGAGGGACGCCGGCAGGAATCTCGAGGAGAGGCGATAGGTCGCCATCCACCTGGACCCTTTGCCGACGCCCCAACAGGTACTGTCAGAACCACTCCAGGGCGTTGCCCTGGACACCATAGTGGGAGAGTTTTGCTAGAAGGCCTGCATGCCACACACAATCGAAGGCCTTGCTTAGATCAAAAAGCAGGCATTGACATGTTTCCCGTTGTCTCTCGCAGTGGAGAGGGTATGGACGAGCCGGGCAAGCTGCTGCTCAGTGCCGTCTTTCTCACGGAATCCGGACTGCTGGTTGGGTAGGTGGGGTGTTATGTGCTGGTAGAGGAGTTGAGTTGTGCAATTTTTTCTTGGATTTTTGATGTAGTGCTCAAGAGAGAGAGAGATGGGTCTATAGTTTGTTGGTTGGGTTGGGTCACCAGGCTTGGGTACTGGAGTAATGGTGGCATCTTTCCACTCCTGTGGGATTTCTCCGGTTTGGAATGATCGACGGTGCAAGTTCCTTAGCCACTTCTTTGAGTAAGCGGTTTGGAATAGAGTCGACCCCAGAGCTTTTGTTGGTATCAACTCCGCGGAGGAGTTTTTCGATTTCAGGTTGGGAAGTCGAGATTTCTTGAAGGGGACTGAGGATGTCAGGGGTGGTGTTGATGGCTGGAGTTTGCTCATCCGCATTGGCCACGGACAGCTTGCTCTGTGAAATGAAGAATTCGTTGAGGGCAGCGGCTTTTTGTGCTGATGTCGTTGCGGGAGTTGCTTGGCTGACGAGTTCGGGTATGCGTTGTTTTGTAGCTGTACTTAGGTGCTTCATGAGGCAGTGTAGGGAAGTAGAGGAGGCTGTTGAGTTGTTTACGAAATCCGGTTTTGCACGACGCAGGAGGGTTGCGACACAGTTTCTTTGGGAAGTGAACGTGTTCCAGTCGTCGGGCGAGCGCGTAAGTGAAGGTATATTCTGTCTTTTCTGTGCTTATCCTTGATCTCTTTCAAGAGGCCCTTTGATATCCATGGTTGTGCTGGCACGTTCTTCCTGTCCCAAGGGGGGTGAGTGCGAGTAACTTGGCAGTGTTCTTGGGCGATGCTCAGGACTTTGTCGCGCCAGGATCGCCAGAAGGTGTCAACTGGGCATGGGTCGTGTTGGTTTGGATGGTGGCTGAGATTTGTGCGTGAAAGTTTTCTCGAAGAAGGTGGATAGTGCTGTCTGTCCATGACCAGAATGTGGTGCTTCTGGATCGTGGAGGGGAGTTGTTAATTATTGAAGGGGGGGGGGCAGTTGATTATTGATGTGGCCACTGATAGTAGTGTGATCGGATACGCCAAACGGTGGAAGTGATTGGATATGAATATCATTGGTGTGGAGTGAGGAGATAACAAGGTCTAGACATGAGAGAGGTGTTTGTCGGTGGATGTAAGTGAGGCCGTATGTTGTTGTTGTTGTTGTTGTTGTTGTTGTTGTTGTTGTTGTTGTTGTTGTTGTTGTTGTTGTTGTTGTTGTTGTTGTTGTTGTTGTTGTTGTTGTGGTTCAAATCTTTATTCTCACGATAGCCAGTGGCCAATAAGAGATAATAGTGTAAGAAAGGAGAAAGAGTGAGGAAGAATTGGGTGGGCAGGGCCTAGGGGTTAATGACTACTTAAGTGTACGGGCAGGGGTGGTCCCCACACGAGCATACAGAGTTGCGTACTTAAGTGTACGGGGAGGGGTGGTCGCTACACGAGCATACAGAGTTGTGCAACAGCAGGGATATCTCGGATTTGAAGGGAGTACGAGAAGGGATTTCGCGAAGCTGGGTGGGCAGGCAATTAAAGTAATGAAGGGCCTTGTACAGGGGAGAATGGAGACAGCGGTCAGTCCGCGGAGTTGGCAAGTGCCACGTACGAGAGCGACGTAAATTATACGAAGGTTGCACGTTGCTAGCAGTATGCAGTGAGAGTATATGTGGTGGAGCATAATTGTGGCGCAGAGAATGCGCGAAGAGTATATGTTTAACTTTAAAGCGTGAGAATAATGTTGGCCATTTGATGCGATGCAAAAGGTGGGAGTGTTCTAAGTGTGTGTAAAGGGGAATGTGGAGACATATTCTGGCGGCTTTCCGCTGGAGTCGTTCTAGCCTGTCAAGGGAAGTGTGGGACAACGGTGTGAGAGCATTGCTCGCATATGAGAATATAGGTAGTATGTATGTCTGATAGATGTGAGATAAAGAATCTCTGGTGAGTGTAGACCTTAGTCTAAAAAGAATATTGAAAGACTTGAGTGATATTTTGACTATGTATTCCACATGCTCCGTCCAACGGAGGTCATGCTGAAAGATTATTCCGAGGTGTTTGTGTTTTTGTGCTACGGTAAGCGGACTATTCCTGAGGGTGACCTGGGGTAGCTGTTCAGGGGGGGGGGGTTATTGTGGTAGAACGGGAGGATGACTGTTGTTGTTGTTGTTGTTGTTGTTGTTGTTGTTGTTGTTGTTGTTGTTGTTGTTGTTGTTGTTGTTGTTGTTGTTGTTGTTGTTGTTGTTGTTGTTGTTGCTGTTGTTGTTTGAATTTGAATTCTTTATTCTCACGATGGCACCATCGCCAATAAGAGATAAATATATGAGAAGGTGAGATTGTGGGTTAAACAGTTGGAAAGTGATTTACATCTCTTTGAACTTCACAGGTATGGGAGAGGGTGAGCGCTGCAGCAGCAGATTGAGTTAATCAGCAGTGAGCAGATTTCTTGTTTGAAAGCAGGTCGGGAGGAGACGTCACGAGTGCTAGCAGGGAGAGCATTGTAGTATTCTAGGGACTTGTACAGTGGGGAATCTTTACAGCGATCGGTTCTGGAGGGTGGGAGGTGCCAAGTGCGTGCGTGTCAAAGGCTTGACTGGGCCGTAACTTGAGCGGGGATGTTGAGCATGCGTATGTGTTGTGGGGCATATAGGTATTTTATGGAGTGAGCAAGAAGGGTGAGCTTTACTTTGCGGCGAGCGAACATTGTCGGCCATTTGAGCCGATGGAGCAGTGTTGAATGGTTCAGAGGAGTGTAGAGGGGGAGACTATCAAAGGCTTTACTAAGATCGAAGAAACACGTAACAGCATGCTTCCATGCATCCCTAGCTGTGGATATCTGGTGGACGATCTGTGCGAGTTGCAGTTCGGTCCCGTCTTGTTTTCTGAAGCCGGATTGGTTTGAGGGTAAGTGCGGTGCTATGTGATTGTACAGACGAGAGTGGACTATTCTTTCTTGTGTTTTTGATATTATACTGAGCAGGGAGATGGGTCGGAAGTTGGTAGGATGGGAGGGGTTGCCCGACTTGGGGATGGGTGTAATAGTCTTTCCAATCCTGTGGTATTTCTCCGGTTCTGAAGGACAGATTGTGGAGACTAGTGAGAGATGGGGAGATTTCCTTTGCAGTTTCTTTCAGGAGCCGAGTTGGGATGTTGTCAAAGCCTGGGCTCTAGCCAGTGTCTAGACTGCTTAGAAGCTTCTCGACCTCTTCCACTGTTGCTGCGATTGTATTTAGAGTAAGACTGATGTCAGGGGTAGTGTTGATGTCTGGTGTAGTACAGGCAGTCTTGTCAAAGGACTGTTGGCTTTGGGGGATAAAGAACTTTTTGAGAGCTGTTGCCTTCTCCATAGCCGTGGCTGCAGTGGAGTTGGCTGTCGATAGTGTGGGAATTGTTTGCTTATGCGGTTTCTTCAGGTGCTTCAGTAGACGGTGGAGGTTTGTACCCGTTGACGTTGTCTGCTGGACAAAATCGGACTTAGCCTGT